TATTTCCTGTTAAGTGCATATGCAAATGTACTGCATGCAGTGATCCCTTGCATAAACTTTGCCTTTTATTTGAGGGTGAACAAAATATGAAAAAAAGTAGTGTCTTACACATTAAATTTAAAGGGCTATCAGAATTTTATGTGGAAAAAAATAAATCTTTTCATCAGTCCATTCAGTAAAAATGAATTTTGTGACATTGGGGCTTCTCCCTGCTGAGGAAGCCTCACAGCCTCCTCTGTTCTCTCTGCAGGGCTGTTAGCTGTGGCCAGAGTACCAAAGAGCCTGTCTGCAGTGTGTGCCCTTAAGGGTCTCACCCTGAGAGTACCCCTGGAGGTTGCCCTGAAGTTTGCCATTTTATCATTGGATTTTTAACAAATGTTCTGTTTTAGAACAATGTGGGGATGTTTTAAATTTACCACTTACTTCATTTTATGTCTAAAGGAAAAATTATACAAAATTCCATACTACTTCAGAACATACTGTCTTGGTTAACATTTTAAAATTAGTTTTAAGAAGAAGGAAATCACGGATGCTCTGGAATCCAGAGAAGTGCCAAGCGAAGGAAGCAGTTGTTCCCCTTTATTTTCAAATACCTTACTTACCATGGGGTCAGGCTGTGGATGATAATGCTGGAGACCTTTGAACACTGGTGATGCGCCTTGGGGAGCAGTTTCTTTTGTGGTACCTCTGCACCAATTCTGGTCTCAGCAGAGCTGCAATTGTGCAGTATCTCAAGTATTCCACAGGGTGTCACGATGTGGTTGTTCTCAAGAAAATTGTCTGGGAGGAAGTAATTTGAGCCAAGTTTAACCCAGTATTTAAATAGTCACCTTTTTTTGTTTTTGTTTTTTTGGGTTTTTTTTGGCTTCAGTCAAAGAATATTTATTCTATTACTCTAGACCTACTGTGTGCCAACCCATGATTGAAAATACAAATTTTAGTGGTATGATGCAAGTCTTTATTCTGGCACCTTGGCCAGCCCAGGACTTCCCATCATAGTGAGCTTGTTTGAATGTATTTTTCCATGGAGATTCTTTCCTGAGAGTGAATCACAGAGAAGGCATCTTCTGCAAACCTTTCTTTGTTCTCTGGCTAGTCTCTGACTCCCTTCTTTCTACCCTCTGGTGATAATGGGTACTCAACTGTGTTGGTTCAGGAAGAGGGCTGAGAGTCCAGGTCCTGCAGGTATATGAACAGCTAAGGTGAGGTGAAGCAGGAGTTAGGCCTCCCCACTCAGAGCGAACATCAATCTTCATTAATAAACTCCTTAGATTTAATTCAATGGTGAGATTTTTTTGGGGGGAGTAAATGAAATAATCCATTTTAGCAGGAAGCTTTTAGTAGCTTTCAGTTCTAGGACAAGATGGCATAAGTTCCCTAAGTCCTATTAGCTCTGAACTATATCAGTAATCATAAAAGACTCTGAAGCAGGCAGGAAGCAGCTCTGTGGGAACTTCATGAACAAATCCTAGGGACCCCCTTGGATTTTCTTCCTGTGCCAGATTACTATCCCAGAACCCTGCAACAGGGACTCTGCCAACAGGAAGCGACAGAGGGAAGAAAGGGGCAAAAGAGAGAAGGAGAGAAGAGTATCTCAGGACATTTAGCAATGTTCCAGTCAACTCATAAAATGTCATCAGCAAAACCCAGCAGGCCAGCTTGTCTTCCATCCTGCCTTGCCTGCTCTAAGTGCTGAGTTCAGGATGCCTGTGCCAGCTTTGCTAGAAGAGCCCTGACTGAGCATCTGTCACTAGAGAGCCTCTCTCCCAGCAGTAGAAGTCAGGCTCCTGTCAAGAAGACTAAAAGATAAGCCATAGACTTGGAGCAAATTGCTGTAAAGCACACAAGGTAGCAAAGGACAGATACGCAGACTATATAGAGTCTTTAAAAATCAATAGTGAAACAAAATCATCACAAATAATCCATTAAAAAAATAGGTTAAAGGCATGAAGTGGCATCTTATTGAGGAGGTGCATGTATGAAACTACATTCAAGTCACTAACCATGAGGGAAATCAAAGTAAAAGGCCACCTATCACAGTCACTAAAATCACAACTAGTGACTTGAGACTGTAGGGAAACCAGCCCATTCTTACATTGAAGAGGTGAAATGCAAATTGTTTCAACTATAGAGCAGTGGTTCTCAATCTGTGGGTCAAGACCCCCTTGGGGGTCGCATATCAGATATCCTGGCTATTAGATGTTTATATTATAGTTCATAACAGTAGCAAAATTACAGTTATTAAGTAGCAATGAGATGATTTTATGGTTGGGGGAATCACCGTAGCATAAGGAGCTATATTAAAGAGTGTAACATTAGGAAGGCTAAGAACCATTGCTCTCAAGAGTACTTCAATAGTGTTTTACATAATAAGAACAACTTCTATGTGATCTAAAAGTCATCCTGGGGTAGCATTTATACCAGAGTAGTGAAAACTTCTTTCAAAGATAAAAAACACATACCTGTATGTGAATGTTTGTAGTAAAATACCTGTAATAGCCCAAACTGGAAACAACCTAAATGTCTTTAAACAGGTACATGGTTAAAGAAACTGCCACAGTAACAATGGAGCACTACTCAGAAATAAGTAATAATGAATAATTGCACAGTCTAACAATTTGAATAAATCTCTAGACAGTTATGCTCAGTGCAAGAAGCCAGTCTGAAGGTTACCCACTTCATGAGTATGTTTATGTTACATTTTCAGAGTCAAAATTATAGAAATGGAGAAAAGTGTTGACTGCTAAATATTTATCAAGTCAGCATGGATGGTATCATGAGAGATGGTGGGAGAAAGGAAGGGAGGAGAGAATAATATCCATGTTTTATAAAGTGGTCTGTGTGCTGGGTCTGCTGGGTCTGCTGGGTCTGCTGGGTCTGCTGGGTCTGCTGGGTCTGCTGGGTCTGCTGGGTCTGCTGGGTCTGCTGGGTCTGCTAGGTCTGCTGGGTCTGGAACAATGAAGTTTTCCATAGATATTGTCGATATGAGTTGGTTGGTTGGTCACCAGAATCTTGATTTCTTACTGACTTGTGAAGGGCATTTCACTCAAGAAGGCGAGAACACCCAGTATTTGCATTCTCAGCCTCTCTTGCTGTTAGGCTATTGGCTTAACCTGTCTCTGCTTTTTATTTAACTAAATGCACCTGTCAGAGCTGTTGGTCTTAGTCTTGGGGTACAAAGACCTACCTCTCAGCCTTGGGGTACACAAACCTGTCCCTCAGCCTTGGGGTGCATAGACCTTTCTCTCACTCCAAGAGTCACAGTGACCAGTGAGTTCTCTATGTTCCAAGGTAAACTGAATCTTTGTAAAAGGTGAAGTTTTTTAAAAACTGTCTCTGAGATTCCCAGCCTTAGTTTTCAGTTTGCTCAATACCATGGCCACCATGTACATCAGGCTAATTGACCCAGAAGTGTCTGGAAATTCTCTTGTCTCTGCCTCCCAGCTTGATACAGGTGCACTGGGATTGTAGGCATGTACCGCATCTGCCTTTACATGAGTTTTGAGAATCTGACTTCACAAACCACACATGTAGGCAGCAATCGCTTTTCATGACCAAGCCATCTCCCCAGTCCAAGACCCATTCTTAAGATGTTTGTACAGTATATTTTTTTTAAGGTGGCTTGTTCTTGGATATAAATGTTTACCGTATTCTAAATCTGTCAGTCACTTTTGTCCAAAGTATCATTACCTTTATTATCTCAGATGCACTGGAACACTGGGAAAGTCCACTAGCCCAGGTCCTGTTACCTCAGGTGTAGATGGTTCATGTCTGTCTCTTTAGAAGTATATTATGTTTTGTTTTGGAACAGTGTTTGGAGCAGGGCTGATCTGGAACTCACTGTATGGTCTGGGCTGTCCTTAACCTCTGAGAGCCTTCCTGCTCCAAGCCTCCTAACTCTCAGAATCATAGCATAAGTCACCATACCTGGATTCTTTAGAACTGCTGGATGATGCCATAGTGGTATCTTATTTGCCATCTCTCCGTTTTCATGACTACTGCCAACGTTATTTACGTGGCCATTCCAGACTGCAACAGAGGGAGTCAAGTAGTCTCCCAAGTTGCTCAAACAGCCCAATGTGAAGCGTGTATTTGGAATGAGTCCCTGAGAAAGCTGGGTGCAGAATACAAATATTTTGAATGGACTTATCTCAGAGTTGTACTGCTTTATTTCCCTGTCATTTAAAAACCCTTAATATGAATAAATTGTTTGCATAGCGGGCTTAAGAAAACCTTAGATAAGAAATACATGGTTTGAAAGCAGAGAATAAAAACATGAATGATAGTGGACGTAATGCCTAGGAGAAGGTCCTCGCCGCTGCCGCCAGGCAGACCTTATAATCGGCTGTTTTCTGTGTTTATTTCGGGATGCAGATACTGGATAAAGTGGCTGGTTGGCTGCCAGCATCTGACTTAGTTGCCAAATGGAGTGTTTAGTCCTTGTTGCATATGACTTATATCACAAGTTCTTCCCATTAACAGTCTGCTGGTGATAACCTACTTGGCTTCCATGCAATCACTTTGAAACAGCCACTTGACAATGTTTGCTATATCACAAAGTTTCTTGCTGGATAAAAGGACTGAGTGGATGGCTGTGTAGGCTCTGCCTAGGAAGGAATGGGCACCCGCTCAGCATCTGCCCAGTGAGTGAATTAATCCTGGGGGAATGTTCTTCTGTTTCACTATGGCAAGGTCTATGAACCTGAACCTTAAACGTGGGTAAATGGGTAGAAACAGAGAAATAATAGTATTTAAATGTCTAGGGGGTCTTGCATTTGTATGGAGAACATTCTGCTTATAAATAGAAAATTGCAATAAATGGATTAAGATCTCAATTTTTTAAATTTTAAGTCAAATGTAATCTCAACAATACTGATGTGATGATGTCCATATATCGAGTCTTAAAAAAAAAAAACCAAAATAAAAAGGAGATGTCTTCACAAATCTTGGCTTTGGTTACATAGAAAATACTTATTAAATATGTCAATCTTTATTTTTAGATCGAAAACTTGCAAGAACAACTTAGGGATAAGGACAAACAACTGACCAACCTGAAAGACAGAGTGAAGTCCCTCCAAACTGACTCCAGCAACACTGACACTGCTCTGGCCACACTGGAGGAGGCCTTGTCAGAAAAGGTGAGCTTAACATCTAAAGCAAGGACTCAGACTTCAGAGAAACAGCACGGGGAGTCGTCGATCCAAGTACATGCAAATACATCTGATTACCCCTGTCCCTACACTGCCCCTAGTCCCTGCTTGTCCTCAGACTTCCATGTTAGCCCGGAGACTGGGCATACTGCAGGCATCTTCTTGAAACTGAAAATCAGCATCACCTTTGGATGTCTGATAAAACATTCACTAACTTTTCACTAAATTTTAGACTGCCCTGTAAGGTTACTCATCCTTCCTGATAAAGCCCTCTTCTGGCCAGGTCCTCTGCTATGAGCTTGTCTCTTCCTTATATCTCTGTGATGTGGCTTTGTTGGCCCTTTAGATTTAAATGTGCACTGTTCTCTGCCCCTGCCATTTTGCATTTGCTCCTTTTTGCTCAGGGTGTGATTTTCTATGTATAGATTTAATTCTTCTGAGTCAAGAATGTGGACTTGGCAGAAAGTTGTGTGAGTTCGAATCGTAGGTCCTGTACTCAGTATTTGGGATAAGACACTTAGGCCTCTGAGTTCCTCAGTGTCTTCACCTCTGAAATTGGGGTAATAAAAGTCTCCACCCTGTGAGTTTTTGTTATGTTTAGGAAAGAATGTGTTTAGGACAGTCAAAAGGGACTATAGTTGTCATTATTTTATGGATAATTTCCATAGAGACACTGTGTTGGTGCTCCTATTCTACATAACCAACTCCCACAAATTCTCACTGTACTTATCGTTCTCCATGTGTCTGTTTTAGTGGAATTCATTGCTTTTTATACTGGGCTCTAAACAGAGACAACCTAGTGTTTTATTTTGCCGTATGCAGGGCTTAGCATAGCACCTTATGGGCTGTTCAGTAGGTGCTGGATATTGGTTGTCTTACCCACCCTCATGTGAATGGGTGAAAGGTCTAGCTCTTCTCATTCTGATGAGGGAGAAGGAAAAATAGGAAGTAATGAGGTAGTGGCATGGGGGTGGTTTTCAGAGGGGTGTTGTTTTTTGAAGATGGAGAGAAATCAGAGAGGGGTACAATACTACTTGGTTGCTATGGCTTACAGACAGGTTTTAGGTTTGAGACAGGAAAGGTATGTTTAAGGAAAAACCAGAAGTAGGTGAGCCATGAGTCCTTTTTTGAGGCCCATAAGTTGAAGGCAGAGGGGAGAACATTTGTAAGGAGTCTGGGAAGAATTTGGGTAATAAGGTCTCTCAGAGCCTTGCATTTTTTTCTATTTCTGGAATTGAAAGCCAATCTAAAACTTTCATTCCGATGGACACTTAAAGGATTCTCATGAATAAAAGAATTAATGAAAGAATGAAATCCATTAGAAAAATAGACCATTTCTTTGACAAAGGAATGCAAAGGAAGGAAGAATTATTTTAGCTCACAGGTCAAGGTGCAATCCTTCATGGCAAGGAAATCAAGGCAGGAGGAGTTAGAAGCAGCTTGTCACATTATGTTCCCAGTCAGAAGCAAAGAACGCTGAATGCATACATGCAGTTAGCTCTTTATATAATCCAGGTTGTACTACCAAGAGATTGTTCAGAGCCACAAAAAATAACTTTTTCCATATCAGTTAATATAACCAAGATAAACATCTCCCAAAGGTATACCCACAGGCTCTTCTAAAATAAAACATAAGTTACATACTTCCAGGAATAATGGCACAGAGTAAATGTCATTCCTATTCCAAATAGAAAAAACAAGAAACAGTTACACTTAAACAGAAAACAAAATAACAACAGTGAAAACCAAAACAAAAGCAACAAGAATAAACTACTCCAAAACCCAACAGAGAAAGGACCAAATCCTGCTGCTCCTCCATGCCTGGCATCTAGGCACATAATATAATCATTCAGGTTCTAATAAGCTGCTCCATCCCCTTAGCCCTGAATAATCTCCATTCCATACCTGTTACTGTTCTTGGAGTTGCCCATGACCTTGGCATCTCCACTATCCTAGAGTTTCTACAATATCTTGGTTTTCACCCTAAGAGCTTTATGCAGTATCTTCTCAGGGCCCCTTTACACAGACTCTGATCCTACCACATATTGCCTCAACTCAGATGCTATGTATGCGTCTTTCTTTCCTTCAAAACAATAACACATGAATGAATAGGATGGCTAGTTTAATAGCCAACTTTACACTGTCTTGAATCACCTGAGAAGAGTCAAGATGATAAGAGGTCACCTAGATCTGGTTGGCCTGTGGGCATGTCTGTGAGGAATATTTTTCTTCTAAATTGATTTAAATAGGGTGGAAAGATCCAGCCTGAGTTCGGGCAGCACCATTTCAAGGGCTGGGCTTGAACTGTGTAGAAGGGAAAACAGCAAGCTGAACAAGTGAGTGGCATGTGCTCATGTCTTTCCGTGCTTGAGCATGGATATTTTATATCTGCTGTTTTTACTTTCTGACTGTAAGCTTGAATGAAATGAAACAGTGATGTGCTGGCCCAGGATGGAGCCTGACCCTTTTGTAACAGTGACATCAGTTTCTGTGACCGGACCCTGGGGAGGCACATCTCTAGGCATCTGCTTTTCAGGAACAAGGAAGTCATTTAGTAAATGTGTTTCAATTTAGACCCTACCCTTCAAACAAGTTTGCATTTCCACAAGTCAGAGCCTTGTGTGGGTAGTATCTTTCCCTCATTGACTGTGTTCTATTGGTATAGTATAGAACAACATATTTCTCTTTAATAATTGCCCTCTTTGTTCTGATTTACTACAGTTTTTACATCTTTCTGCCCATCTATTTTTCTGGTCAAATTCACTATAGACTTGAGTAAGTGAAGTAAAATATAGCCATGCTCAGCCTGAATGCACTCCTGTCTTCAAATTTATGGTGTCAAATGGACTAGTTCGTTATTTTTAAATTCAGCTTCATTCAAATTATCAGAGCAGAAAGCCATATTCATGGTCAAAATATCACACAAATAACTCCCTTCCCAGTTCCTTATAGAGTCCTTGTTCTCTGAAACTTCATCAGAACAACATCCATAGTACACATATCTCTCAGTATTGGTCACCAAAAATCCAGCCAGAATGACGCATTAAGTTCTATTTCCAACATTCACCTGCTTTTGTAGCCTACAGTTCTAAAGTCTTCCATATTCTAGCCACAAAATAGTTCTAGTAGCCTAAGAACCACATAGTCAGGTTTATCATGCCAACAACCCCACTCCTGACACCAATTTCTCTCTTACTTTCTTTTCCTGTCACTGTGATAAAATGCTCTTATAAAATACTCTAAAGAGAAAGGATTACTTGAGTCCCTCATGGCCAGGAGGTCAAGATAATGGAGGAGCTTGAAGCATCTTGATATATTGTCCACAGTAACTAAAAATGAGCAATAAATGTATATATGCTACTACTTAGTTGTCTCTCACCTTTATATGGTCAAGGATTCCCTGCTAAAGGAATGTTCTTACCCACAACTAAGATGGTTTGTCCCATATCAATTGATAATAATCAAGATATTGCCCCATAAGCATGCCCAAAGGTCCATCTCCCAGGTGTTTCTAGATTATGCCAATAACACTAACTATGATGATACACCTTCGTTATGAAGGTAGGACATGGACTCAATAAGGTAAAATGAGATATTTGGCCTTTGAAAGCAGCATTATTAATTGTGACCATGCCAACTGGTCACCCAGGACTCCTGGAAGTCATTTCTATCCTGTTAGTGTTGCTCTATGATAGAAATGATTGCTTCACCTGGAGTACTTATCCAAGGCCACCTAGCCTATAAGTGATGGCATAAAGTTGTATCAATTGCTTTTCCAAAGCTGTGACCTGATAGAAGAACTTAAAGGGAAGAATGATCTATTTTGCTCATAATTTTAATAGTTGTCAGTCCATCTTAGGGGAAGAGCACATGGTGGGGACAGCGCCTTATGTTTTTGTTATAATGATGCAGTGAAATGATATACAGAAAAGATGGATCCCCAAAGAGACACACCCTTACTTCCTCTAACTAGATTTTACCATCTATTTCCCCTTTCCTAATAATGCTGTTATACTATGATCCCAACAAAGGATCAATGTATCTCTTACCCTGATCTCTGGAAATAGGTTTACAGACACACCCAGAGCATGCTTTATTAGTCTCTGAGGTGTAGCTCAATTAAGTCACACTGACAGCTAAGATTAAGTATCACAAGGACTTAAAATCCCTGATATACTTATAGGGACATTATAATGTAAACTTAAATAGCTTTTCTCTCACAGATTCCATCTTTATTCACAGTTAATTGAACATATCCTCTAGGACAGTGGTTCTCAACCCTCCTGATGCTGTGACACTTTAGTACAGTTCTAGCCTTCCTGATATTTCAACCCTTTAATACATTTCCCCATGTTGTGGTGAGCCACCAGCCACAAAATTATTTTTATTGATACTTCATAACTTAGTTTGCTACAGTTATGAATTATAACATAAATATTTTTGGAGATAGAAGGTTGCTGAAGGGTAGGTTGAGAACCACTACTCTAGAATAAGGCATGGTGTGAAAAAAAAAACTCAGTAAATTAGAAAAAATGATTAATTAATTTTTGTGGATTTATTATTAATTATTTTTCTTTTACAGTATTGGTAATCTAACTCAGGGTTTTGCACATTCCAGCATGTGCTGTTACACTGAATGATGTTCTCAGCCTTTAATAAGTAATGGCTTGCTGTCTTTGGCTGGTATGCTAAATATGTCAAACTCTGCCTTACTGTTTCCCTTTTATAATGGCACCAGGGGAGTGTTTTTTATTTTAATTTCTGGGAATTCAATCAACTGTAGAAGACATACAAAATGATACAGGTCACTGAGTCTAAAATATGTTACTTAGACAGGGAAAAAGCATGGTGGTAGAGTATTTGCTTAGCACCCATGAGGCTTTCCTGGGCATGAGTACCAGTGAAAACTAAGATTGAATATGTCACCCAGAAGCTCAAGAGCTCAAACCCACTGTGTTTATAAAGCCAGTCTGGCCAAGCCTTGCTGT